AATTATGTACAGTTCAGAATGATCGCTGATACAAAACATGCCAAGGACAGGGGCGCGGGGGGGTGGAGGGAGAGAGGGCGCTTTAAAAAAGGGAATCATTTCATCCGCTGTTACGAAGGACCAACCTTGCTGTACAGGATACACACAACACAAAATAAAGTCTTCACGGGATTCACACTTGTCAGAGGTTTATTTTTTAAAAAGGGGGAGGGTCCTGGAGGTGAGGGGAGAAGACCGTAAAGGGGAAAACTGAAAACTGAATATGTGCAAGTGTAAACCAACCCAAAATACAAACACGGGGAGGGGGAAGGGAGGGGAGGGAATTCTGATGCAATTATACAGGCGGGGTACTTAAAAAAAACCAACAACCAAAATTCCAACCTTGTAGCTTGGGTCTGAGTTAGTTTATATAAAAATTAAAAACTGTATAAGGTTTCTTCACTAAATTCTACAGGACTATCGGATACCTAGCATATGCTTACAAAGTCTGCCCCATCCCCTTTTCCCAATCCAAGGAACCAAGCCCCAACCAGAGCCTGACTCGCAGGAGCCAATCTCCCCCTCCCTGTAGCCTAGACCTTTTGCTCTTGGAAAAGAACACCCAATGGCTTCGGGGGCAGCAGCCTGGTCTCCCCACTGTCTGATTTAATTACAGTGGTTTCTGTGGGGGTGGGGGGGATGTTACTCTTAAAACATTTGCAGCTTGAAACAGTTGAGGAAGCAGCTTAAAAAAAAAAATCTCCCTACCCCCATCAATCCGCAACCCCCCAAATTCAAAAACAAAACAAACACAAACCTAAAATCACAACAGCGACCGTGCTCCCCCTCCAGCAGGCCCGCCCTTACACCGCCACCAAGCCCACCCCTACACTCCAGACATTTGATTCTTGAAAATATTAATTACAAAATGCCCTTTGCCCACAGCCCCTAGGAGAGAACTGCATATAAGCTTCATCTTCATCCCCATGGCTCCCTACCAGAGAGGGGTCTGGGGCCTCACCCAGCCCCTGACCTACCCCTACCCCCAGGAAGAGGTTCAACTGCAGCACAAGCTTGGGCAGAAAGGGGAAGGAAAGGGAGGCAGGGGAACCCATTACCCTCTGGCTCCCCCTGGGGCCAGCTCACTTTTGTGCGTTATAACATAGTCCAACTATACAAAACGGGGTGGGAATCGCCCAGCCTCTATACCCCCACCTTACAGCAGTCACAGCCAGGGGGTGGGAGGAGGGGGGTGAGGAAAAGGGCGGTAGGTTGGGTAATGGAGGGGGCCCCCCCACAAGGGGAGCTCCATGTGTCCGCCCCACGCCCCCCTACCATTTATAAACTGGTTTTGTAAAAAGAAAATAGATATATTTATATAGAATATATAAAGCACAAAAATTAGTAGTTTTACATTTGCTCTCCCCGGGGGTTGGGGGAGAGGGGAGGGTTCTCACCTCCAGCCGGCTCCCCCATGCCCCACAAGACTATGTACAATCCCATGTATAAATAGATAAATACCCCCCACCCTCCCCGCGCTGACACTAAGCTCCCCCACCCCCACATCACCACCCCTTCCCACCAGACCAGCAGCAGTTTGGTGACTGAGGGAAAGTGGGAGCTCCGGGCCACACCCTGCCTCACTGGGTATGGGCATGCCACTCAGGGATAGCCCTCACCCTACCACCCACCCACCCCATCCAGGGGCTGGAGGGCAAATGGGCTCATGATGGGGTTGGGAAAACAGGAGGGAGATATCCTGGTCCTAGGTTTAGCACACCCCTCCTGCCCCCATGTCCAGATGGAGAAGGAAGTCCTAGAGCAACTAGGGGCCAGTCATCCCCAATCTTCATCATTAGCCTCAACCACCATCCCATGCCCATAATTAAAAACAAAGATGGATTTTTTGTTGTTGTTTTTTCTTCTTCCTCCTACCCCCCTTCCACCCACTCAGAAGAGGGCAGTGAGGTGGGGGAGAGGGTTGGGGCAGTAGGGGGCTTGGAGAGGGTCTCACATTTCAAAACAGCAAAAAATCCAACACTTAAATGAGGTAGGTGTGGGTGCGGGGTCTCCTTGCCCGGCTTGCCTGGCTTGCCCTCCTGGGCAGCTGGGCGCCTCTTTCCCGTTCATGTTGCATTTGTCAGAGTGGAAAACAAGGAAACACAACCCATAGAGAGACAGAAACACAGAGGAGAAGAGGGAGACAGAGACAGATTGAGAGGGAAGGGGATGGGGGTGAGGGTGGGGGCAGGACCCGGCAGGCAGGGCCAGGTGTGGGACCCGGCCTTTGGGATTGTCAAGCTTAGTCAAGTCTCTTTGCAGCCTTGAGTTGGGCCAGAGAGGTCGGTGGGAGCAGCAGGGCTGTGAGGCCCGGCCACACATCCTCCTCCCCCCTCCCTGCTGCCTCCCAGATGCTTCTGGGTAGTTCCCGGCCCATATCCCCCTCAAACCTGAGATGCCCAATGGCTGCTTCTGTCTGGCCCCTCCTGGAGCTGGGGGCAGAGATGCTAGCCTGGGGGCCGGTGGCGGGGAAGAGGGTCGTCCCTGGTGCCCAGGGTGGGCTTGGCCTAGGGCCCTCTGCCCCAGCCTCCTGCTCCAGGGGCTCCGGTCAGCCGGCAGCCCCAGCCCTGGGTCCTGGCTCTGGCTGCTACCTCTCTTCCCCCTCATCCCTTTCAGGGAAGAGGTTGGGGGTGGGGGGACTCCCCTGCCTGGTAGCCTCAAAGCTTCTTAGTTCATCCATTTCCGACAATTCCAGGCTCCACAGTGGCAGGGGATCTTGTGCTGATCGTCCTCAAAGTCAAACTGATAGTCATAGGTCAGCTGGAAAGAGAAGAGGGCAGAATCAATGCCAGCCCCCCAGAGGAAGTGGGGGAGGGCAGTGGCCTTGGAACTTGACTCCTGGGGAAGGACAGAGAAGAAGGAGCTTCTTTGTCACTCACTGAGGATGCTTCCTCTTACCTCCTCTCCTTTGGGGATTCGCCGGCTGGAGATGATGATGATTTTGTCCTCCTTGTCAAATGTCACAACTTCTGCCACACAGTTAGGGGCACATGAATGGTTAATGTACCTAGGCAGTGAGACAGAGTCAGAGATGTCAAGCAATTTGAGTTGGATGATTCTGGTTCCTTGTTGGCCCACCCCTAGAATGCCACCCTCAGGGACCCGTAAATCCCTTCTTCTCATCCTTCTCTCACCTGGCAGGACCCCCAGTCAACGTAGCATCAATCACATGCTCGTTGTTTATTCGGAACATGTAGATGCCTCGATTCTAGAAAGGCAGAGATTGCAGAAGAAGCAGCAAGAATATCAGAGAATGGCAGCAGAGGTGGTGGGATCAGGTAGTGGGCTTATCTTTGTTTCTTATTCTTCCTTTCTTCTGCCTCTCCCCTCCTCTTCCCACAGCTTTCCACCTGCTCCTCTGGCCCCAGTCCTGCCCCTTGCCCTTGGCTGAGTGTGGACCATGCACTATCACGGCCCCTCTGCCAGCCCATACCTGCTCCTCATAGATTTTCTCACGACGGTTGGCCACCTCGTTGCGAATGATGGTGCCAATGTACTCGATGACCATTGTGTGCTTTTCTAGGTCCTTGGCTGCATAGAGCCCCAGGCCCTGGATACGGGAGCGAGCCAGATACACATTGTTCTTCCACTCGGTGCGCAGCCGCCGGTACTGAGATGACTTGGAGTGCACAAACTGCTTGCTGTATGGGGTGTTGGTCTCGCCTGTGAAGGTGCTCTGATATGCTTTGGACATGCTGGTGCTGTTCAGAGTGTGGGGCCTGGGAGGTGATATAGTCCATGACAAGACAGCTCTCCCTCAGAGCAGACGCACACCACCCGCTTCCTCCCTGGGATGTGTGACACTCCAGTTAGGGGTGTGTGCTGCCTTGGGAATGGAGTGGAGGCATCTGGGTCTTGGCTTTGGTGAGGCAGCAACTAGCTACAGGGACCCTTCCAACACCCTGGGTGGCACAGAGAGCCCAGGATGGGGGGTGGGAGTGTGAAGGGAGGGAAGGGGCCCTGATTCCCCTACAC